TGGGGTCGCGATGGGTCGGACACAACTTCGCAACTAACAACAACAATTAAACTTAGTACTAAAGATGAACTAATTCCAGCTTTCTCCGGTCTATTACAGGTTGTCCTCATCTTATGTCCACAGTTGAGCCCCAAATTACTGTTGCTAAGTGAGATAGTTCTTAAATGGGTAAAAATTGCCCTATTTTACATCCTTTCTTGCACAGTTGTTAAGTGAATTGACTTTGCTTGTCAGAAGGCCGGAAAAGGTGATCCTATGACCCTGGGACACTGCAACCGTCATAAATATGAGTCAGTTGTCAACGGTCACTAAAAGAATGGTTGTTAGACTATCTGTGCCATCTCTGAATGTGCTAGAATTATGATTCTTAGAAATCTTAGCCAGGCTGGCTGGGACCTCTTGAGACTCAAAGTCCCAACACACTTGGTAACAACAACTAACTGGTGGAGCATTCCTACTCAAGCCATTCTAAGCTGTTCCAGCCCCTCTCTCTGATTTTGGGTGTCTCTTGAACATCCTTCATTAATTGTTATTTTGAACACTATAATAAATCCTTAGAGAACTGAGGTCAAAGGAAAGTCATTTATTCAATAGTAGGCAGCCTAATTATCTCAGGAGATTAGGTTAAATCAATTTACTACTCAGCATTTTTATAGATTCTTTTCATTTACCATCTCTCTTCCTATTGACAGTACAGTCTTTTGGAGAAGTGGCTGTATAAAATGATAAGCAAACAAATAATTTAAGGCAAGCTATTTTGAGATACCGCTGCCAATTTTCCAAGTATTACTATTGTCAATATATTACACTATAATAGCTTTGAAAATTTTCCATAACTGTTTCTTATCCCTATAGTGTATTAACAGATGTATCCTTTTTAGCTTTTTAGAATGGCTAAGGTCAATCCAAATGTTTACCTATTGTTCACTTTACTGTGCCCTTTTTTATTTTTGTAAGCTACTCATAATCATGTTGTTTGAGTTGGGCAGCTATATAAATGCAGTACATAAATAAATCCTACCATTTGGCTACAAGCTTACAAATAAGTCACTTGAATTCAGAAAATAAATAATGCATTTTAATATAGTGATTGTGGAAAAAATAAAATTTCCTGGCAGAGTGTCAGGTTTAATCCGTTGCATTCCGCTTGTTTTCTTTTCTTTCTAATAAGATGAGGCAGCAAGTAAAAAGCATTTTCTTATCCTTTTTAAATAAGTGCATCTATAAGTTGAATTAACATCAACTTATATTGCATTTCAGAATGGCTCACATCCATTTCCTATCCTGAATAAATATTCACAGGAGATGATGTCCAGACGGAAAGTATTCTTAATAGCACTCATAATATCAGAATAGCCATCATCTAGCCATTTCATATCTGAACAGCTCATTCATAAACATTTGTAAAAGCTTTTTTTAAAGATAGGTCTGGAGACCAATTATTCTTAGGCCAGAGATTTGATCCGACTGCCAAGTTATAATACATGCAATTCTAGAAAAAGCTTCCGGAAATTTACAGGAGAAAATTAAGGTTTTACTACAAGATCAGATATCTACTGAAGGTGAAACAGGATGTGGAAGGGAATTTTATTCTAGCCTTCTGAATATTCCAAATCTGACTGCACACGCCTTTAATAATTTTAATGTAGCTCTAGTAAGCCAATTAACTTTCAGAAAAAAATAAATCAGTTTCTTGCTTATTCTATGGTACAGAGCCTGGTGTAATAGCTATGTAATGGTTCTACAAGATTCCTAAAATATATGCAGGTCTGTATATTTAACCAAAATTTTGTACTGAAACCTATCCAATTTTAACCTCTTCAGACGTGTTGTAATTCAACGAATTATTAGAAGACTCTGATTAGGGAAGGTTGCAGTATAGCCAAAATTTGCCTTTTAAACTCCCCCCTCAAATGTCAATAAATATATCAAGCATTAACCCATGATACATCATTCCTGGCTTGAAAATGATTTGATCTACACAAAGTGAAAAACAAAATTGTTGGCTCTCAAATAAATCTTAGAAAAATGTCATAGCTGATTAATTCTTTTCCTCTAAATATATGCAAGATGCTAACAAGATGTGATCTCACATGGACTGACTTTTAATCTGTTGGACTTCCAGTTTATATAGATCCCTGAAGAAAGCAGGATGTAATGACTTTGGCTGTTAAAAAGAAGAACCAGAGTCCTTCAGGATATAAGGACAGGTTGTGACATCAAAAGAAGCTCTAGAAGAAGGCACTGACAGACTATTTCTATGCTATTGTTCAGAGACATGGAGATGGACAACATGTCTACAGTATTGGAATTCCTCATTCATCTCCACCTTTTATTCTAATAAAAATATATATTTCTTATATACACTAGCTCCACAGATACCAAAGATAAGACAGTTACAAAAAGACCAAACATTGCTGCATTAAAATTTACATGCAACCCAACCTTATACACTGAGAGTGAGATGCCCTATAGTGCATATAGAAAATTAAACTTCATCTATTGAGATCCATATTCAAATGCTGACTTAGCTGGGTACTCGTTGGATGATCATGGGCCACATGATTCTTGTAACAAGAAGGGATAATAGCAATAAATGTTTAACAGATAATACAGATGGAACAGCCTAATTAATTGAATGAACTCAGTCTCAGAAAAAGAGGGCAGGGAACAGCTGCTCTAAGGATGTACCTTCTTAAGTCTCCTACTGGGGAGCCCTGGAACCTGGAAGGAGCTGCTTTTGATTGGATCATGTGTACCATGAGGATAAGTAAATCCACAATTACATTGCCATGACCTTCTGCTGCAAGGCATAGAGCCTCCTCCATCCACCTGCAACCAAGGGTCTTCTAAAAAGTGGCACTTAAATTTTGATAGGTTGGTTTTCCAGAGGATCATCATCTCTGCTGTTCTTTAAATGAATATCAGATATGTGGCTCTTTCCAGGGGTTTGAAGCTCAGATCTGGATCATTTTTGTGACCTTTTCAACATCTGCTGCTAATTTTATACACACCTGCTTTGGAAGGTGGGGATAATAGTTTTAGCATGATTTACAATTAATTATTGATTGATTTATTGGTTTTATTTCCTGCCTTTCACCCAGAATAGCTATTACATTTAACACACGCATATATATTAGCAATACACTTATTCAGAACTTATTCATTGGGGGGGCGGGAAACCCAACCTTATTCACTGCTTTCAAATCATTACTTGCTAAGTCAGGTAACTTATGGATTTTATTCGGCCTATTTTTCTGACATGCTCCCTAAATGCCTCACCTAGAATATTTTATGGCCTTCCTATAAAGAGAGGAAGGAAACTGCTTGTGGGGTTAGCAGCAGGAAGGGCATTACTGTATCTCAAAAAGAATTATGTTGCTAATGACTCTTTAGAGGGCTAAGCTCTCCAGAAATAACTCCTCTTTTGAAAAGCAGCCTTAGCCGCTGAAGTCAGCATCCCACAGAAGTCTTGCTGAAAAGATGCAAGTGTCTGCTAGAAAGGGCAAGGTGCCAATTTGCAAGGCAAGGAGCCAAGATATCAGAAACCAGCAGGAGTAGACAGGGAGAAGACGGACAGTAATAAAGGAAGGATGGAATCTGCCAAGCATCCTGGAGAAAGATGGAAGGATGGGGAAACCTGCATCAAAGTAAAAGCTGCTAAGTAAAAGCTTAAAATTTACTTATGCATGAGTGAGGCTTGCCAAATGGAAGTAGGCTGTTTGGCCATCTTTTTCCCACTCTGCTTTATTTGAGGTCTTCTGGCTGCACCATAGATTTGTTTGAATAAACACAGCAAGATATTTAAATAGAGTGGATTCATTTCTTCAGATCCCTCAGGAAGAATCAGAATCCCTTTTCCAAAGCAAAAACAGGACAAACAGGCATACTCACTACCTGGCTTTCTCTGTGCTCTGCTTCTAATGAACTGGGGTCAGATGTGCAGACTGAGACCTCCCCCCCCCCCTATAGTTAATTGAACCAGGCATAATTCAGTGTAGCACACTGAATAAAAGGAGGCTATACTTTAACAAAGACAAAGGCATTACTCAGCTCACAACAAACTGAATACATTAGTCTAAAATGCTTGGCTAGCTTGGGGCTGATTATCCTGGAATTTCATCCCTGAGCTTGTGTATTTGTAGGTTAGGCACAGGGCTAACAGATCTGGGATGCACAAAGAGCTTTTGGCTACCAATGAAGGGTGGTCCTGATATTTATAGTCCAAAGTAGCAGCAGCTTTTTCCGAGATGGGAGGGAAGTCTTTTTTTCTTGGGCAGCGCATCAAAGAGGATCAGGTGCAAGAAAAAAAAAAAAAGAGTCCAAGAGAAAAGAGATGGGATTCAACAGAAGATGAGGTAGGATTCACTGGGTCCAATTCACAACTGTCCTGCTGCCCAGAGGAAGAGCAGAGGCAGCTGGTGAGGGTGTCCATTTGTGGGCAACACAACAGAGGCTCGGGTTCAATGATGGGTGATGGTAGAAGTGGTGTCCCGGCCTCTGGTTTCCTCAGGATGGGACCAGTTTAACCCAGTTCACCAGAAGAAGAGCAGAGAGGAAGGCAGAGAGAAGGAACCCCCATGCACTCCGCTTTGCAAAAGTCGGATTCTGAGAAGAGGAATCCAATCATCCCGAACATCTCACTGTATTCAATCAAATCTACAGCGCAGCCTCAGAACTACAGAGCAATTCGTCTCTTCCCCCCTCTCCGGGCTTCATCAAGGGACAGCGACTTAGAGGCTGCGGCCATGCCCGTCGTTTGTCCTTCCTCCTTTGTCACCAGTCCCCAACCTCGGGAGAACGAGACCGCTTGCGTTGCGCCACTTCTCTGGTTTGGGGAGACCGGCGAAATGGGAGGGGAACCGCAAGGGGAAGGGGGCACCCGAGGGCCTGCGCTTCGGTGTCTCCCCCCCCTCCGCCCAAGAAAAGAAGCGAGAACCAGCTCTGCAATTCGCCTCCTTCGCCACCGCCACTCTCTTCTAGCCCCCGCCGGCCCTTACCAAATACCAGATTCCCAGGATGATGGTCCCAGTGCGGACATGGCAGCACAAACAGCAGCTGTTGGAGTAGAACCGAGTCCAAGGCGAGCCCAGCATCTTCATCGCGTCCTGCCGAGCTGCCTCCCGGGCCCTTTCACAGCGACTCCCAAGCGGCAGGTTCCTTCCTAAGGACGCCGGAGAAAGAAGAGCCGCTGGGGGTCCCTGCCGGGATTCAGGAGCAGAGGAAGAGGCGAGGATGCAGCGAGCAGCGCCTTCTATCAGCTGGAGAGGCGGGTGGAGGTGAGGAACCCTCTGCTCCATTACGTCATCGGGCTTCCAGCCTGCCAAAGATGAGGGGCGGAGTCTTGAAACCCCAAGACCGCTCGGCGAAAGGCTGGCAAGCGCTACAGGCGGAAGGATGAAGAGGCCGCGGGGTCAGGCGGCGTCAGGAAGCATCTAGGTGGGGGCGGAAAGCTCCAGAAAGGCTGCAAGCCTGGCTCAAGACCCATCTCGCGGCCTGGCAAGTGGGAATTGCTTCCAAATGAATTGTGCGATTTCTAAGTAGGTTATGTTGCCCGCGTCGGCCTCTTCCTACCTTCTCCTTAACAATCTGAAGGTTTTTTTACGTTCCAGGGGTAGGCAACCTTGGCTCTTTTATGACTTGTGGACTTCAACTCCCAGAATTCCTGAGCCAGCTATCCTATGCTGGCTCAGGAATTCTGGGAGTTGAAGTCCACGAGTCATAAAAGAGCCAAGGTTGCCTACCCCTGTAAATGACAGCCTCCATCTTCTGTACAGGTAGTCCTCAACTTACAATAATTCATTTAGTGACCAAAGTTACAATGGCACTGAAAAACGTGACTTATGACCGTTTTTCACACTTATGACCCTTGCAGCATCCACCTAGTCAGATGATCAAAATTCAGATGCTTGACAACTGGTTCATATCCATGATGGTTGCCGTACCCTGGGGTCATGTGATCACCTTTTGCGACCTTCCGACAAGCAAAGTCAATGGGAAGGCAGATTCACTTAATAGCCTTTTTACTAACTTCACAATTGCAGTGATTTGCTTAACAACTGTGGCAAGAAAAATCGTAAAATGGGGCAAAACACACTTAACAAATGTCTCACTGAACAACAGAAATTTTGGGCTCAATTGTCGTCGTAACTCGAGGACTACCTGTGCTTCACTAATTCTTATTTCCAGGATTAAGCTCTTTTTTTCAAACCATAATTAAAGTCAACTTTAACTGGTGTTGGGTTGTCAGAAGACAAAGTAACTACAGATTAACGGATCACATTTTAGCCCAGTGTCTTGTGTGAACATTTCCATCTCTCTGCTTAAAAGTTGGGCTATTAATATTATAAGCGGAAGTCTGCCCTTGTTGAAATGTGCTGGATTTCTTCCTTTTTGTTGTACATGTAGCCTCCTTGCCAAAGGAGAGATTCAAACCTTCAGTGCACAATTACACAAGTGAGTGATGGCTATTCTTGAATAGAATCCAGATTAGCCCCTTCCCTGCCTGTTTTGGTTGTAGGAAAGATTGCCCCCCTGCTTCATTTTCAATGAGGCTTCCTCTTTCCCAACAAGAGAGCAAGGGCCCTCTGAGTATTTTGATTTGTGAACAAAGGGTGGGAAAAGTGTTGACTGTACCTTAATCTCAAAGTCTGGAATTTCCAGGAACCAGTTGAGTGGAACACAGGAAAGTGGCCATTTTGGTAAAAACAGGTAAAATATCTAGACAAGAATTTGTGTTGAGATGTTTATTTCTGTTTGCTATCTTGTCTTGCGTTAAATTCTGTCTTTGATCAATTGCTTAGCTTAATGATCAATTTACTTAGTTAAAGTGCTAAACCATATTTTGTCTGGCATCCAGTTTATCATTGGAGCAATTGCTCCCCAGCCCTTTTTCCTTCCAACTTCCTGAACATGTTCCATTATATGAATAGATCAAAATACTGGCAATATAAGTGCAAACAAAAAAAACTTAACTTTTCCCAATCTAGCTTTGTCCAGATGTATTTTTATGACGTCTTCCACCATCCTTTATGTAAAACCGTATAGATCAGGGTGTCAAACTTAATTTCATTGAGGACCACATCAGCATTGCAGTTGCCCTTGGAGGGCCGGGTGGGTGTGGCCAGAGTGGGTGCAGCCTACTGGGTGGGTGTGGATGGAGTGGGTGTGGCCTACTGGGTGGGCATGGCCAGCTCTACATCGTTCGTGTCAAGGTTGCCTGTGGAGGCCTGGGCAGGAGTGGGACAGATCTGAGTGTCTCTGGCAGAAGGAGGTGGGACCGGGGAAAGCGCCAAGGCATGGTGCATTTCTTCAATCCTCACAAAGGGTGATGCCTCCCCAGCATGCACCCAGGGGGCGGGGCCAACATGGCAGGGGCTGGTTCTTTGCTGTTTCTGGACGGCCTTGTGGAGCTAAGACTGAATGCATTTCAGCATAGATGGCCACCACAAAATTGTACATTGGCTCCCGGCCGGCCTGGGCCAGGGCCAAGGCAGCGGGGGCCGTTCCCTCACTGTTTCCAGGATGGCTTCGCGGGTCACGTGAAACCACTTCACGGCCACATCCGACCCCTGGGCCTTGTGTTTGACATGTCTGGTATAGATAATCCTGGGCTTACAATCATTTGTTTAGAGACAGTCCAGAATTACAATGGCACTGAAAAAAAAACTGACTTATGACAGGTCCTCTCACTTACAACTGTTGCAGCATCCTCTTAGTCACCTGATCAAAATTCAGACACTTGGCAACTGGCATATTTATGGTTTCAGTGTTCTGGGGTCATGTGATCACCATTTGCAACTTTCCCTACTGGCTTCTGATGAGCAAAATCAGTGGGGGAAGCCTGATTTATTTAATGATCATATGATTCACTTAACAACTGTAATGATTTGCTTAACAATGGTGGCAAAAAAGGTTATAAAATCAGGCATGACTCACTTAACAACTGCCTTGTCAAAATTTCGATCCCAACTGTGGTCATAAGTTTGAGACTACATAAGTTTGTAGTCTACACTCTGATAGCCAACTAGCTGGGAAATAAAACTGCACTAAACCATACTAGATCATACTAGATCATCTGCTCTAATCTGAAATGTAATACCCAAATGTATATTAAATATGTGTTTCCTAAATAAATATATTTAGAAAAAAAGTATTTTCCATGTGAAATGATCAATTCCACCAATGTAACTATTTTTGTCACTTGCCCATGATGTGAACTCATTTAGCATTATTCCCATCCCTGGTTTTGTTTCTATGTGAAGCAAGCTCTCTTCACTGAGAGCCTTGAGTAGCAAACATCAAATAACCTTAGTGATCTTTCTGAGCAATATTTCATGCAATCATGCAAATAAAATTAATTAATTGGTAATTAGTCAGCTAAAACATAAGTCAGCTAAAAAGAAAGGGCATAATATTATTTACAATAGTATAGAGTATAAGCCATTATTTCAATTGTGATGGAGCCCCACAGGCTGTCTACTTCTATTTTCCTTGGGAGACACTCAATGAAATGCATTAAAATGTGCTAACATTATTCTACAATAATTGGCACTGGGAACTGATTTATATATGTAGCTGGCCTTTTCTGCTATATCTCCATACCTAAACAGATTCTTCTTACGAATGAAGGCAAATATACGTGTCCCAGGATAATGATGCGAGATTGAATTTGGGTCAGTCATCGGGAGCAGAGATTAAGTCTTCCGAGCTTTTGGATTCATGCTGGAGCCCATCTTCAGGGAATTTCTCTCTACTGGAATACATTCTTTGGACTGTTCTGTGAGTTGTGTTTATGTGATGCCTTCCTATTGGCTGATTGGTGTATTGATAGCTGGTGATTGGCTGTTGTTTTCTTCTAATGCCAAGCCCTTGGCTCCTAAGTATTTGATAAGCTGGCGGTAAATCTGCATATAATAAGATATAAGATTCTTCTTATATCCTGCTCTAATCAGATTGATTATGTGTGAACTCCATTTTAGCATGATTTTAAGTCACTATGCTTATAGGATCTAAAGAAAAGCCATATTGGGGTCATTTTTTTCTTTAACGTGTCTCCCAAAAAATTATTCATTTGTTGCAGTTGTTTATTGACAATCTCATGGCTCTGGATGGTTTATGATATAAATAAATATAAATATATAAATAAATATAAATATACAAGACAACTGCCAATTGTGAATTTTAACCCCAAACAACAACTCAGATCACTACTATCCTGCAAAGTCTAAATGAAATAATTTTGACAGCCTTGTGGAAATCCAACAAAGGAGGGGGGCAGCAGTACTTCTGGGAACAAAATAATCCTAAGTTTCAGGGCTATGATGCAGAAGTCTGTGAGAGTGGAAGAATCATTTTGAAGATGAGAGACCCTAAAACAGCTTGATGTTATGCCATATTTATAGTAATAACCAGCATTTTGAACTGGGCTCAGAAACATATAGATAACTAGTGCAAGTACTGAAGAATAAATTATATTGTGCAATAGGATAATAGGTCTCATCTCTGCAGTTTGTATAAATTGTGGCTTCTGAGTCATCTTCATAACCATCCCCAGGTAGTGTATGTTGCAATACTGTAATTGTAAGATAATGAAGGCATGAGTCACTGTTGCCAGGAAGATTTATAATTGATGTAAAGCTGAAGATGGGAAAAAGCTCTTTTTGCTATGTTCTCTTCCTGTTGCTCTAGCTGCCTAGAAGCAAAGAGTCCCAAGAGGATCTCAAATTCCTGCTCTTTCAGAGGAGTGCTGTCCCATCCAAAAGTGTCAATGGAATTGAATTAGAACACAGACGTTTTTGAAAAACAATGTCTTGCTAGAATTACATTTTAGATTATTTTGTCTCATTCAGTCTCTCATAACTTCTGTAGACAAGAGCAGTGTTTCTCAATCTTGGCAGATTGAAGATGTGTGGACTTCAATTCCAGATTTCCCTCCTTCAACTCAAGTGAAGCTGCCTGCGGCATTCTGAGAGTTGAAGTCCACACATTTTCAAGGTACCAGGGCAGAGAAACACTAGAACAGAAGATTTCCACATCATTTTTGGCCTGGTTTGAGATAGCAATGTTAAATCAAGAATCATTGACATTCTGATGACACCTGATCACAAACCAAAAGCTAAGATCTCCTAGTGGTTTTATTTAGCCATTAAACAATATAGGGGAGATGTGTGAGGTTTGTGGTATTCTACATTAGGGCAACCAAAGGTTTAACTGCTCTACCCCAGTGGGTACCAGTTAGAGCTGCCCACTCATAAAATATGTTCCATGCTCCCAGTTTTGAGGTTAATCCAACCTGCCACTTATCCAAGAAAGTTTTCTAGAAGAGTCACTAATGCTGTCTCAAATCCATGTCCAGGTCTCACTGGAATGGATCTAGATAATCTGCTTTATCTGGAGTTTTCTTTACCTGACATCCCACCAACCTCTCCAGAATCTTTTTGCAAAAAGGGAGATCAAAGACTTGGAAGTAGATCAAGTAGATCAAGAGATGTCTTTAAGAGACAAAGTACTTAAGGTAGTCCTTAACTCATAACTATTCATTTTGCGATTGTTTGAAGTTACAATGGTGCTGAATAAAAGTTATTTACATCCAGTCTTCATGCATAAACTACTGCAGTGTTCCTGCAGTTCTATGATCAAAATTGGAGCGTTTAGAAATTGTACAGTATTTATGATGGTTGCAGTGTCCTGGGTTCAGATGATCACCATTTGTGACTTCCCAGGTAGCTTTTGACAAGCAAAATCAAGGGAAAGCTGTTGCTTAATGACTATATAATTCAATTAACAACCATAGTGATTCGTTCAATAACCACAGCGAAAAAGGTAAAAAAAAATCTGGCATGACTCATTTAAAAGACCATGTTCCCTACCAATGGAAGTTTCAGTCCCAATTGTGACCTTAAGTTGGGCACTATCTGTGCCTGACCTCTTTCAAGTTGTTGGCATCTCACCTCCCCAATCCACCTGAATTATCCTCCCACCCTCTTCCTGAGAAAATCAGAGGGCCCTAGCTGGGCATGGGTCCAGCCTAATGATGTCAGGATTTATTCCTAGAAAACCATATTCATTCCCTCAGGCTTCACAAGTTTGCAAAAATCCAACTCATATAGCAAGACACAGCCTCTACTATATTAACCCTTGCAATTGGCATGGAATCTTAAGCCAATAGGAAAGACGTTATTTGTAAATACGCATACAAACTTGTCACAACTGTCTGAAGATATATTATTCTACCTTTCCTCCCCTAACAGGACCCAAGTAATTCTGAACAGGGTACCTGAATGGAAACTGACAAATGCAATAAGAGCGAATATACATGCTTCATTGCTTTTATTGCCACAATCTAAGTCTGAACATGGGCTTGGTTATATTCATTCATGCACATGTAAACACTGCTTAACCAGCCTAGTCAAATATGATCTTAGTTTACATTGCTCATTTCAGAAATAGAATTCAGACATTTTATCTGCCAGATTCAAGTGGATGCAAAAAAGAGATACTTTTTTGAATCATATTAAATTGAATAGCATTCATTTTCTTATGTGCCATTACTAGTGAAATAATTCCTTTTACATTAAAACTTAAATTTTCTTGAGGCTGCTGAATGATGTCTTCATCATTCTGAAACTACCACGAAGATCTGTCCTCAACAGAATCAGCCTTACAACAAGTTGAAATAAGAAATTGTGTGCAGAATTTGGCATCTTGAGAATCTGTTTTCATCTGTTTTTACACACTGTTGGTCAAAAACCTCAATAAGATTTTCAACAATTGGGATGAGGTTCTTTGTGCCCTATAGAGATCCTGTTCTATGACTAGAAAACTCCAAAATGGTAAAAAGAACGCATTATTTAAAAAGAAATATGCAATGACATATACTGCACAACTAAATAATTGTACTTGTTATTGGTATTTCTTCTATTTTGTTTAATATATATCACACCCTGCACTTTGCATAATCATGTATCTTGAAACTACAGGCACTTTAGACACTTTAGACTTTAGATCTGTATTTTTATCTTCTCCTTATGCAGCAAGAACACTGTTTAAATCCTAAGTGCTGGCCATACAGTTTAGTTCAAATTATTAAGGACTAGTATAATACTCTTTAAAGTATAAATCAATTTATAATTAAATTGAAAATGGCTTACTGAAGCCAAGAGAAAAGCATTGCCTGTTTGCTAACTGGTTGTGAGATTTTTTGCAGTGTTTGAACATTTGGTTCTGTGCAATCTAAATTGGTAGTGAGTGAAACCACTATGCTGTATTCACATTGGATTGTGTTCTTACATCAGAATACACTCTACAGGAAAATACAGTTTTCCCATTCATACATGTTGCTTCAGAGTAATAATCTCTAGGCCAAATTTGGGCTGTCTAAGGATATTACAATTATTGCTGAAAAAGTCAAAGAATATGCAAAAGAACTCAATATATGCTTCATGGATTAAGTTGCATTAATGTCAAAAGTTTTAGAATATTCTTAGAAATATGGGAATTTCTGGCACACAGTCCAGATGCCCTTGTCTCGGCTTGGCACGCTCATGTGATGGGGCTTGGACTGAATTGCACCTGTGTGGGCTCTATGCATGCACATCTCATAGAGCACCATGGTTTACTGACAAGTTACCAGAGAAGAAATAGCAAAAGAGGTATCTATAGAGTATTGCTGCAGAAAGGCAAAAAGTGGCTGATTGATCACAGGTAAGAACTTTTACTTATGACCGGTCACTAAGCAACCGGTGGAAATTACAACATACCATACTTATGATCCATTTTCAGTGGCATTTTCAACTGAACGCAAGTTACGACAGTGCTGAAAAAGATGTCTGCATTTACAACCCTATCTACATTTTTTAAAAAAAAATCACATTATCTAAAACACTTTTGTTATAAAAATGAATTATATGTACCACTTATGCCAAGTTCCAAAATGCTTAGTATATTACAGAATTAGGTTCAGATCTAATACAAGATGATTGAATTTAGAGTGACAGCTGACATTTTCTTTGTCACTGTTGCTTAAAAAAACAGAATCTTAACACGTAAAGTCAAGACAAACATGTCAAACCAACCTGTTATGTCATGTTAACAGAAGGTTTGGGGCAGGCGCCTTGTAGATAATGTTGGCTCTGACTTTCCAATCTAAGAACAATTCTGTACAGGGACACTAAGAAAAAGTAAACTTCCGTATAAATTCATACCTGCAGCTTATTGGCACTGATATCAGGAAGTCTGGTCTGATTTAAATCTGGAACAGTTGAAGACTGACCTGAAACTTAGATCTCATATAAGGAAATGAAAAGGCATATAACTTTAAAAAAGATTAAAGAGCAAAACTAAAAAGACATTTCTGTATAGATGTGAAATCTTCACGTACTATTTATTAAATATATATTGTAATTTTTAATATTAAAAAATAGTATGTTTTCATCCAACTTCACAAATTTCTTACTCCAATATACTTACTATTAGTACTGCATAGCCTAAAAGAAAGAAAAATTAAATATGCATTGATTATCCTATCACATATAATTTGTGTAAAGTTGTATATATAAATAAAATTATATGGAAAACATTTCATGGACTTCATTATGTTTAGCTGGTTTGTTCTGTTTGTATCATAAAAAGATATCAGATCTATCTGGTTATAAAGACTATTATTAACAATGCAAAAGTGGATGCACACTTTTATTGTTTGCCTTCTATACCGATACAACTCTATTCTGGGAAACTGTTGTCATTGCGCAACTTGGTAGCTTAAGTACATGAATAAAATAATTTATGGCATTGCCATTTTCACTACTTAACATCTTCACATTTTGTGAATATCCCATTCTTAGGTGACAAAAAGATCATTTTCACCTTAATTGACTGCATATTCTAAAGTTTCAGGAAAAATCTGTCATCTACAGGTATAAATCCTAATTGGGGTCAGATTAAATATAAACATCCACATAACTAAACATTTAAATTAAAAGCTGGATCAGACAATTTAGGATGGTGGTAGACATAATAAAAAAATGACATTCTTCAGTTCAGATGGACTGCAGAGATAGATCACTTATAATTTTTAGTTTTATTAGGTATTATGCATTTAGGTATTAAGAATGGTATTCATGGCAAAGCAATGCTATAAGCATTGAAAAGACCTTTTTGCAAAAAATATTCCACAATGACTAAGAACAAATGAATTTTGCAAACTCCCACTTTTTAGTGAACAACTATCCAACTCTTCACAACCATTTCTAAAACAATATAAACTATTCAAAGTTGGTTGAATATAAGAGACATATATTCATAAAAATACCATCAAACTGTCCCAAAACAGATCTGTTTTTAGCCGAATGGCTAATTTTGCTATTGTTATGAATATCATTTTGAAAGAATCATAGCATGATTTAGGACAAGCTTAAACATTTCTTTTCAGTCTCAAAAGCTGTTCTTAAAATGGGATAACAGGCAGTATTTTATCTGGTCAAGTGAAGAAGAGTGTCTTAACTGGGAAATTAATTATGTGACATACTTAAGATACATATGAAGAACTTTAAAAATCACATTAAAGAGTAGACACAACTAGCATATTCAATACCCTTTTCAAATTAGTTGTTGTACAGTCTATTTGGCTACCAAGAATTTTCAGAGATACCATTTTATTGTGATAAAATATTATCCACAAGTTCCCTTCCCATAAATAACACAATGCTATCAATTTGCTCAATTTATTTTAACAAAATTGATGTAGAAATATCACTGAATTAAACAAACATCTGAACATATAAACATCTGCCATGTTCCTGAAACAGGAGTTAATACCTGTGCACATTAAAATTCATTAGGAACACTATCAATTAATAAGGCTTGTCTTCAAAACAACTAAATCCAGTTTGTTGCTTTAATTATTCTTGCATTGCAAGTTAATTTTACGAAAATTTTCAAATGTACACAATTAGACATTATGGGAGAGTTAATAGTACCATTGGTTACAGCTGTTACAAGTTTTCTGCCACATGAAAAAAAAACTAAGCCAATCACATCAAATAATCATGGCTTTTCTTTAATAGTTGTTCACCAAGTTATGTTAATTATGGTCCTTTAAACACACACAAACATTTCATAAAGGCTATATACAGTTGTACATGGCTGAGCATGCACTATTCATAGATACCTGCCTGTTTAACATGATGTCATTATAATGCTTGAAAATGATGCAATTCAACTTCCATTTTAATCAATAATTACAAGTGGAAAGATGGTTCGTCTCCCATTTTAATCCATAATTACAAGTGGAAAGATGGTTTGTTTTACAATTGCTGTTGTTGCATGATTTTTTTAAAAAAATACAAAACAAAAAACAAAATGCTAATCCCATTTAAGAACTCTAGATACAGATTCTACATAGGTTAAGGCAGTAAAAAAGCACTTCCTGATAAAGGTGGTCTCAACATCAATTAAATCTGTTTTGAAGCCATCATTACTCTTTTCATTTTCTACCACATCTCTGAATTTTTAAAAATCCAATTAAAAAAAAGAAAAGCAATAGTGGCAGAGAAATGAATCATGGCTTTCAAAATGACTGGGAACAAAGATTATAGGGCATCAACTAAACTCCTACTTTAGATAAGAAAAAACCATGAGGCTTGCTTGAACATACTGCCTCAACAACTTAAAATTATCTGAGAATTTAAGTAAGAAACTATTAGAAGCAACTTTAGGGACCTTGTTGTAGTTCTGATAAAGTTTTTTAGTTTCTTGATACAGAAGTTTTTGAAGTTTAATTTAATCCACTTTTTTGCTGGAAAAATATTTTTATTGATTAGTTCTAACACAATTTGAGTGCACACTTACTCTGAAATCAACTATTATTCAGGTTGAGAGGTTATTCAAGAATAAAGTCTTCAATGATACCAGCTTTTCTGTAATTATAATTAATTTCATGGTTAGCAGATTTTATTAAATATTAGAAACATATGGCAAATTTGAATAAAGTTCTTTGATTTAGGCATTAAACAGATTCAAGATAGACACCACCATTCAGTGACATGTATCAGTTTTAAAGATGATTAGAGATATTTAAGACAAATCCTCTTTCTCCAGTGAACAGGAAATAGAAATATGTTGTAAACAGGGCACTGTTTTAAAGCCAAGGTTTTAAAAATTACTTTTTCCATAGCTTGAAAATACATTCTTCAATGAGTCTTCCAGTAATGCCATTATTTCCTGTGAAATTAGGTCACCAGCTTTTTCATTCAGTTCCTATTCTTAAAGATGGTTGTGTTCAAAGCAGTTTTTTTTTTAAAAAAAAAATCTGTTGAAAGTTATATAAAATTCTGTACAGGTTCACAAATTATTGCATAAACAGCATAATCTCCACGACAAGTGTTTCTGCAACACACGTCCATTTCAGAAAATTCACGTTTCCCTTCTGGCTTTTTTCTTCTTTTTGATTTGCTTGGGGGATTCCCAGCTCTCTTCAGACTTAGCTAAAAGAGTAAGAGAAACCAAGGAGTGCTTTTAAATTGTATTTATTACAGTCATTTATACATTGCATTCTACTCAATCTAGTAAAGCATATTATCAGAAGTCAGCATTATTTTGTCTTTCTCTTTGGCTATAAAACTTCCTTGTGTTTTCAATATTATATTACTTGATAATATACTTTCACATGGATATAATTTCCATTTAGAAGTTATTCATCATTACCAACACATTATAAAATACTAGAAGAGGAAATACTGAACATCTGTAAGTGGAACACCAGATTTGCACCTGAAGTAAGATCAATTCGATTTTAAATACAATTTTAATAACTATGCAAATATCTTTTTATAAACCTTATATGCATTTGATATAAACAATCACTTACTTTGAGGTGGAGGCACACTGTTTTGCTTAACATTAGAAATAACTTCTGCCTCCTGCAGCATCTGTGGCACTTGGGAAATTATCTTTTCAGAGTCACTCTCTGATACAGGTACAGACAGTTCAGTAGAAACAGCTAATGAGGGCATCTCCTTCGGCTACAATAGACATTGTAGATCAGAATATTGAGCTTTTGACATCTTCTAATATCCAATCCCAAAATATGTGGATAGGTTATCTTTAGAAATCTTTGCTTAACCATAAAGAATTCCAAGACCCATGATTAACATTCTCAAGCAAAAGCTCCACATGCATCAAACTAGAATCATATAAAGCATATGCACCAAGTTATAACTCTCTTTTATAAGTAACGGCTTCTGAGGTTTACACCAGAAATATTTTATAGAACTAATCTGCTTTTCAGATGCTGTTGTGATTAGAATCATTTCTGGTCTTATTAGATGGAAATTCCCGTGAATCTAACTAAAATCTATTATTCCTATCCAAATGCTGAAAACATCAATTTAAGCATATCTAACAGTGTGCCTATTTCAAGCTATTAATGCAGCAGGCTTTCACTAAGCTTGCACCTTATCTTAAAGAAGGAAAGATTTACAATAAACAGACATTAGCAAGCCCTTTTAATATATACCTCAGCTTGTTCACTAGTGCTGACGGTCTTTAAAGAGAAAGTTATCTCCACTTGTTGAACTTTTGAGGTATCTTCTGGAAATTCTTCTCTAGCATGTTTCTCCAGATCATCAGAATCCTAGATAGGGGAGAAAGATGACCTCATTAAAAAGAATGAGGTTTGGGGGCATTATTAAAATAACATGAATTAATGAATGAATGTGGAACCTAGTGAGAAGCTATCAATGATACAACATTTTCATGCAATATTAAAACAGAAACTTTTTTCAAACGGTATAGTCACATTCATATATTTTTATTTCAATTAGCTTCAGAGATAAATCATGTAAATACGAAGCAAAAGAGAAAAACTCTATTTTGTCCAGATTTAATCATGCTTTGAATAGACTTAATGGGTTCAAAGTAGTCTCATATTTCTGGGTATATTCCATAAGCAGGCAACATACATTTCTTTTTAAGGAGGGAAGAGGGCTTCCGAGTGCATGACAATGAGTGGACAGAATCAGTATTTGCAATTTTGTCAAAGGACTCTCTTTCATAATTTAGGTTTGACTTAAGCTGACAGTATAATTTTCACATATTTCCTGTCTTAGAACAGAAGGAAATCAAAGTTAAAGAATGTCAGATGAAGATCAAGTTTTGCAAGCTGTCGGTTGCCCATCCCAATTATTCAAAGCATGACTATGGAAACTCAGTTTGTAGTAAATCCATTTAAAGGAAAAAACCCATATAAGTTATGCATAGATATCAAGCAAATCATGGCTTAATATGAACCATAAGAAAAACAGATGCAATCCAGTTAAGGTTTAATCCACCCAGGGCTCATCTTAAATTGCCTTCAAAAGGCTAATCTTTATTGTTTCTTGCCTGTATAGGAGAGTTAGCCTCTTCTCCCTGCTTTTTCTTTTTCTTCTTTTTCTTTTTTGATTTGCCACTTGCAGTACTTTGTTGAGCTGCTTCAGGCTTTTCTTTCTCTTCATCCGATACCTAATACAAAACCAGAGAGATCCATCAATATCACATTTGTACCTTAACCCTAATCAAATATATCATTAATGTAAGTTTTAGTTTCAATCTTTCTCCAATTATAATGTAACAATAAATTACAACATGCATAGGGTAGTGTCATGATGCAAAACCCACTTTTACATAATTACACACACACACACACACACACACACACACATATATATATATATATATATATATATATATATATATATATATATATATATATATATACACACACATACAAGTCATATTTTTGATGACATGACTTATAGGACCACTTGTCCCTCTAGCCAATCCTATGGACACCTTTGAATGTTCTAGTTCTTTCTACAAAATGAGAACCATCAAGCTCAAACAGTACACATCTTACTAACAATTATTGCAGCAACTGTTAATCTGATACCTTTTGAGTTTCAGATAATACTTCTTCAAGTTGTGGAATGGAAGGAGGGTTTTCTTCTTCAACCCAGTTCCCCCATTCCTCTGCTGGGGCATTCCAGTCAGAAGTCGGATCAGCAGAAGAAAGCCCATCTGTGAGAAATAAAGAAGTTTCAAGTGGATGAACAAGACAATAAAGCAAGAATACATTATTTTGCAATATATATTTAATTTCATACCAGATATTTTAATAACAAAAGCTTGGGGATAGGAATTTGAAATATTCCTTCCCAAAATAAATTTAAAATCATTAAAGATAAATATCAAGCACAATGATAAAACAACTCAGTTCTCTGATCTTGCCCTGATGCTAAAGGCAACCTTCTACACAGATACAAATAGAAAAGCCTTAAATTCAAAATAGAATGACAAAAATAAAGGATAGTGGATCAGTACTTTAGAGGAATCAATTTTAGTCGTCTATAGAAGAAAAAGTAGAAATTTAGAAGGAACATTGCAGTCTAATACTGATCAAATTATTTTTGAAATTTGCCTTTCAAATCTTTCATTATTGATACAATATTGAAATAAATTTTAAAAGTAGAACATGGCTGAATAAACAATTTAGAAAAAGCCAAGTAGATGTTGCATTGATAAAGAAAATAATACATTTTTTGGTTTGAAAATTTTGGTTTATTTTTTAGATTAAATTTACTTGGATGAACATTTCAAGCATTAATTGTTGATCAAAGAATCTATACTTGTTTTTTGCAAAACTATTTTGAAAGCATATAGATAAATATTTGGTATTGTTTACCAGAACAGCTATGAATAGGAATATGAATGCAAAAAAGTAAATGCAACTTAAGCAAAACCAGGTAAGATTTTAAAAAGGAACATACTTAATCCAGACCATTCGTCATCAACAGGTGCCTGATTACGATTTAAATCCCACTGAAAATCTGTAGTACTAGGTTGAGAAACAGATTCGCTATTGGATCCTAAAAAGGGCAAAATATATACCCAGTCACTCCATGAGAATGATATGTAGGCCCATTATTCCAATTAACTTTTATCAGATAAAGACAGTCCTCAAATTACAACCATTCATTCACCATTCATTCATTCACCAGTGCAACACCCCATAAGCATATGATCAGAATTTGGGCAATTGGCAGTCCATCTGGATTTAAAATCAGCACTTCAACCTCCTCCCATGCCTATTTCCTACTTGCCCTTTGGCTGCCCTGCACAGTGGCACTCTTCAGCAGTGGCTAAAGTAGAGGCCTGGGGCCTTCAGCAGTCTCAGCTGATCACCACTATGCCTCTACTTTAGCCCCATAGAGTATCACCTCAAGCCCCACGTTACAGCCTATGGAACAAAGCCCTAGCTGCCCTAAATAATCTTTGCTCTACTATCTTGCTACCCTTGCATCCTGCACTCACTGGCCTT